ATTGGCGCCACGTAGCGAAAAGAAGAAACGACTGGCGCGCTGTTGTTAACTCGGCTATAATCGCGTAAGCGGTGTCTACGCCAATCAAGAAGAGGAAGATATAAATCAGTATTTTTTGGAATATTGGATTGAATACGCTTTGTACCCTCAGGGGCTTTTTTGGTATGCAATTATGCTGCCTTCTTTGTTTGTCCCTCTTTCTGTGCTCCAGCTATCACCTTGCGCTACTGTTTTGGTTGTATGTACATATATTCGGGCGATGAGAGGGGGGAAATGAACACTTCTCGATACTTTTTTGGCATGTATTTGTATATTTGTTATAATTGTTCGCGCCCGTTTGTTCCGTTTTTGTGTATTTTTGTTCTGCTTTCTTTTTAGGTTTCGCGCCTCATATTCTCTCTTTTGTTTTTTTTTTGTTGAAACTAATATTTATATTTTGATTTTCCTTGTAATTTGTTTTTATGTTAGTGAATTCACCTTTTCAGTATTTACATATATATACGAATGTAATGTATACAGCTATGGATAGAGATTTAGCGCACTTTCTTAATGTGAAATATGATACTTAATAATGTTATATTTAAAGAAAGTAGAATCGTTATAATGTAAAAAAAAAACTATTTATTCCGTCACTAAAAACTCAAGTAGTCCAAAATTTCTTAGTTTTCTATAATAAAAATACAACTTTTTGTTCAGTTTACATTATTAAGTCAAAATTTGGTTGGACAAGAATTTAGCGCAATTTAAAAGATTAGCAAAGAAAAATAAATATTATTAACATGTGGCGTGAAATTTCTCTCATATTATATCGAACTTAGTTAATACTTAACTATAACTTAGTGGAATGACCGTTATTCGTTATCACCGCTTCACATCTGCGTGGCAAGCTCTCTATTAACCTTTGGCTTCTGCCCAAAGGAATAGAGTTCCACGCTTCCTGTACTCCTGCCCAAAGCTCGTCGCAATTTTAAAATTTTCTATGCCCAACTTTTTTTTTTGACATCATTCCACAAGTTCCCGATCGGGTTTACATCAGGACTCTGCGCTGCCCAATCAAGAAGGGGAATTATTTCTTGCGCAAGCCAGTTTTTTACCACATTTGCTGTATGTTTGGGATCGTTGTCGTGCATAAATATCCAATTTACAGGCATAGTATCATAGGAATATGGGTCCATTGTATTCCTCAGTATAGTATGAAAATTTATAAATATTCCCAATCCCAGTTCAATCTTTACTAGGGGTCCAACTCCACGCCATGAAAACGACCCCCATACTTTTAAATTTCCTCCCCCATGCTTTACGGTTTTTTTGGTGTATCTTGGATTGACTTCTTGGTTTTTTTCACAATGCAAACATGTTTTACCAATAGAACCAATCCGGTTTATTTTAGTTTCGTCCGTAAAAAGTATCCTTTTCCAAAAATTTAAATATTTTGCGCTTTACGCGCTTTAATATTTTTTTTCGACAAAGCGGTTTTTTTCTGCTCACGTCCATACAAATTATTTTCATTTAAACGTCTTGGTACTTGTCTACTTGTCACGTTTAAGTCCGATTCTGCATTGACTTCGACCATAATCGCGCGTGAGGATTTGAAAGAATCAGCTTTACACTTTCTAAGAATTATTTTATCATCGCGCAACTTTGTTTTGTTTTAACAAATTTGGATCATTCTTAACATTTTTGATGGCATTGTACACCATTTTTCTTGAAAATTTTACTATTTGAGCAATTTTTACTTGATTTGTACCGTTTTTGTAAAGGTCCCAAATAATTTTTCTTTTTTCAATCGAACAGTATTTCCCTCTAGCCATTTTATTAAAATTTGTAATATTGCTAAAACTATTGAATACAAGTTTACAACTGAGAGAATTCTTTGTTGGGCCAAACACAACTAATGACCGAAAACTATAAGTGCGGTAAATCATTGTCCAACGAATTTATGACGAAATTTAACAAAAACAAATTAACGGTATCTGAGGAGAAACGATAACGGTTATTTTCCACACATTTAAAGAGGCGACAGAAGCAGTATTGATCTACTAATAACAAATTCATGGAAATATCGCTCTCTTAAAAGTAACGGTAATATTTCTAATTATAAATGCAAGTGCGCTAAAGCTCTGTCCACAGCTGCACATATATTTTTAGAGTACTGCACTCCACTTTCTTTTGTTTATTTTATTATATTATATTTTTTGTTCTGTTTGAGTCACTGAGTTATAAAATTCATAAGAAATAAAAATTTTTCCGAAAAATAATCAAACTTCAACCGTTAATATCTTTTAAACGGTTGGGTTTACGAAAAAATCGTATAAGACCTTTGTTGTAGAGCATTCAATTTCTATCAGATAATAAGAAAAAATATAAAACTGTAAGTAAGTTCCCGTTACAATTAAGAACTCATTCTTGGAGAGGCTTCCTTAGAGGTGTCTAAGAGTCTATTTTTCAAAGTACCAAACGAAAAAAAAAATAATTTTTTTTTAATCACCCTAATATCCATATCTAGTCATTTTTTATTCTATAAATTAAAAACACTTTAGGGTCTGCATACCCGGAAGTGTTATATCAGGAATTGTGTAACCACACTTTAACGTATCCATTATATTAATAAAAGTAAAGGAATGAAAACTAACCTCTTGAGAGTACGTTGGTCGTTATGAGAACTTTTTCGAGGCCAGCCCTGAATCGATCCAAAACTGCAAGCCTTTGTTCCACCGTTAAATCTCCGGAAAGCACTGCAACAGAATGGCCATCCGATGACATCTTTCCTGCCAGCCAACCAGCAGTTTTACGAGTCTAAACAGATTTTATTATTTTCTTCTAAAGTTTGTTTGTTTATACTTACATGACAAAATATTATAGCCTGACCTATTGTTATTCCGGCATAAATATTTTGAATTGCATTATATTTGTCTTCTTCATTCATACATTTTACATAATATTGCTTTATGTTTTCTAGCGATTCTTGCTCTCTCATAAGTCTAAAAACATGAACATAACAATACATATGGTTTGGTTTTGTATCTTTTGCATACATACCGTATAATTGTAGGATCAGGTACTATATGCTGGGCGAAATTCATAACTTCCTTATCGTACGTTGCGGAGAAAAACAACATTTGACATCTCGAAGAAAGTTGTCTTTTTAAAACATATGAAATTTGAGAAATTAAAAACCATATAAATAAACAATTTTAATTTAATTTTAATTTTTAATCACAATCTAGTCAAAAACACATCACTTAAACTTCATTATACTACTATGAACAAAAAATAAACATAAAAATAAAAATAAAAAAGTTACTGTGTTCTCAATTATTCTTCATAATCTACGTCGTCCCCTTCAAAGCAATCCTCGAAAAAGTTGATAAAATCAATTTCCGGAATAGCCTTCAATAGCGTGTAACGGTTCACGTTTAGTATCTTCAATTGACTCAAAACGATTTCCCCGGTGTGGATTGCTGAATAGTCAGATGACACACGGATCTAAATCAGGCGAATATAGTGGTTGCGGTACAATATTCATTGAAAATTTGGCAAAAAAAACTCATGAAGAAGTTTGCGATGGTGCGAATGGTGGTTATCGGAATGTAAAAGCTGAGAGTTGTCGGCCCATAATTTCGTCATCTATTTACGAATATCTTTTCGCAAACGACGCATAACACTCAAATAGTATAGCATTACTTGTTTGGCCGGTCGGAAGTCATTCGGAGTATACAACACTTCGATAATCGAAGCAAACTGGCAACATAACATTGATTTTTGACAACATTTTTGGATCTGTTTCCGGGTCGTGAGGAGAGATCCAAGACTCATCGACAGTAATAATATAATACTTTTTACGACATCCTAGTAGGCGGAAAGGATTGTTTCGCGGACATTAATGCGACGCTGTTTGAGTGATTTTGAAAACAATCGAGCTTTCATTTTTGTTAGGCCCAAATGATCTTTCAAAATGGGTTTCACTGATGCTTCCGATATTCTGACTGTTAATCGCCGATTCTCAATCACCAATTCCTTTATTTTATTGACGTGTTGATCATCAGTTGATATTGATGGCCGTCTTGGACGTATTCCGTCAACGCGTTCTCGACCCTCTTTGAATACTTTTAACCAATCAAACACATTTACTCGCGACAAATAACACAGTACAACAGCTAATCTGGGGGGTGAGAAATTCCAAGTCAGGGTGATGGTACTATGTCAGTATAGTAAAACCCTCAAAGGGTTTGGCGTTCGTATGTGTCAGTTTTATTTTTATGACCTTTTAAATTTTTTCCTTATCTTGACGTTTTTTCGTTTAGTTGGAAAAATTTGGCAAAAACAAAAAAACTTTTTTTTTTTTACAGTTACACCAACAAATGAAGTTACATAAAACATTTCAACATTCACTCAATATTTCAGGGTGCTAAAAGCCTCAATTCTTTTGACTAAAACGATTAAATTTTTACAGCTATATTTTGTTATAATGTTATAAGGTTATGTTATACCTGTTAATAAACAGCCTTTCATAAAACTGATACTTAGTTTTGACATAAATTTCGTTACAAAGTTTTTTTTGTATCATCTAAAAGTAATCGGTATGTATATGGAGTTATAACGGGTGATCAAAGTAGAGGTACTTTTTTCAACAGCCTTTAAGTGACAGTTCACGCGTGGGTCTTGTCAAGAGTTATAGCCTTGACAGACGAGCAAAATTAATGCGCCTTAAGCAACGATAATGCGCATTGAAATTTTATGGTGACAGACGACAGACTTGTGCATTTAGACAGCTGATAGTGAAATTTGTTTATTTATTAAAACAAAGGGAAATAAAAATGAATAAGATAAATTATTAATAGAAATTTTGGTATTTTTGGAAAATCAACACAAATTCAACGAAAAAATTCGTTTATTTAATTGATTGTAATGCGGAAAGTCTGCGAAAATGTTAATAATGTTGGAAAAACGGACAGCAAATTGTGCGTTGTTTATTTTCTGACATCTAAGAGTATTAAAATTTGTTTTTGTTAATATACTTGCACATAATTTAATTAGCAATATAAAATTGCTTACCTCGGATGCTGTAAACGCAAAGGTAATTTTTGAGCAGTGTTGCCTACTCAAATTTGGTAAATTCAGCTAAATGCACGAAACTCTTGCGCATTACAAACTTGCATTAACATGAGTCAAATGCGCAAGTAAATGTAAATTAAGCCCGCTAATGCATATTAACGCTGTCGTCTGTCAGGGCTTATTTTTATTATGTTATTTTTGTTCAGTATTGTTTGATATTTTATCATGGAAGACTTACGATTCGATTCAGCGCCGTTCGTATCAACTCGGACTGACATATAGAATAACTGAAAGCGTACCAAATACACCTTGTGCAAGAACTGAAGCCGTTCGACCTTCTCAAACGACATCCCTTCACTCGATGGGCTCTTGAAAAGTTCTAAGATCCGACGTTTTCAATACAAATTTTGTCCAGCGACAAGGCCCATTTCTGTCTCAATGAGCAAAATTGCCGCATTTGGGGAGCAACCTGAAGAGCTATTTGATCTAGAAAGAACAACGATTTGGTGTGGTTTGTAGGCCGGTGGAATCATAGGTACATATTTCTTCAAAACTGGTGACGGTCTCACCGGCAGATCGTGTGATATCACACCGTTAGACTTTTTTCTGTGTGAATATGTAAAGTCTAAAGTCTACCCGGAAAATCTCGCTTCGATTCAGGCCTTGGAGCAAAACATTACGCGTGTCATTCGCCATCTACGAATCGAAATGCTCATTGAAAACTCAATGGATGGACCATCTTAGACGTACCCGAAGCCAATATTTGTAAGAGATAATTTTCAAAAAATAAATGTCAAAGAATGTTCTTTCGAATGATAATTAACACTAAGTTTGAAGTTTCTATTTTTTCTTTAAAAATAACTAGGGAACGTCAAAATGGATCATCTTTTATAATCTTCTTTGATGCAATTAAAATATATTAATAAAACTAATTGAGCAAATGGTCTTCAATATAAATTAATAAAATAACAAATTTGATTGTATTCCACTCAAACGCCATTAACGAAAACGTATAATGCATCATAACTAAGGTCTATATTAAGATATAAAACTCTTAATTACAGAAGAAACTGCAGTAGCAAGAGGCACTTGTGCGAGAAAATTTTTTAAAAAGTGGGCGAGGCCTTGCCTCCTAATAAGTTTAATATATTATTAATACATACATATCTCCTAAACTACTAAAGCTACAACAACCATATATATACATATATATATAAAATAAATAAATATTATAAAAATTTCGACCGACAATGCGAAATTGTTAAATTCTGATGATGACCCCGACCACTACGCAAATAACGGTACTGTAAAAACTGCGCAAATATTACAAGAACTCCTACCGACAATAATACTGTTAATAACTTATATATTTGTATTGTCAAAAACTTTTAAAAGCGTGATAAATTAATAACAAAATACGGCAGAGACATTTGGAGTACTCAAAACGTGTCATAAAGCATCGTAAAATCATAAAATCATAAACTTTTGTATTAGTTTAAAAAAATTGTTGTTGGATTGCATTCTAAAATAAGCTTACGGAAATACAACTCTGAACGCTATGGTTTCGGATCGTTATAACTTATAATATTACAAGACTATGTGAAACCCCTAATTAAATTTTACTTCCACGGTGGTGAGAGGGCTTAAATGGAGCCGGGTGATTTATACCGCATATATCCGTCATATGTGAGTTATGTTGGGTTACACTCGAACTTAGATCTTCTTTCTTTACTTTAATTTGTCTGCAGAGTTTGTTCCTATATAATCATCAGTTCAGTGTTTGCTTTTGCATATTAACAACGGAGTACGTAGTTTCAGAAAATCGTATTGTAGTGATTTCTTCAAATAAGTGAAAAAAAGCGCAAGCGATATGAGCTTCTCAAAAAACTTAATATTTCTAGAATGCACCATTGGTCGTTTTTTCCAAATATCAACAGATTAGAGAGAAGCGCTCGTCATTGCGTCACTTTCTCCAGATGAAAGTCTACTGACGAGTAACTAGTAGTCTTCTGTCGACGTGCTTGAAGCAAAATCAACAGTGAAACCGTTTTCTACAGTCGTTTTTGTCGAAAAAAAAAATGTTCACTGTTGAAGAAATTGTTAATAAGTAAAGGATTCAATGTGATCACCATCCACCTAAAGCAATGGTTAGGTGGAGAGTCTCCTCTAATGACGTTACAGCTCTTCACTTCTCTGAAGAATTTAGAAAATATGATAAAACAGGAGAATGGAGTCATGTGTAGAAGTTCCTCGAAGTGAGGAAAGTTCTGTGAGCGCCATTCATTTGGGAGTGGACAGAAACGATTCTTTTACACAGCTCACGACTCCAAGATGGACAGAACAAGGACTGAGACTACTAGATCCTTGTGGCATTTACTACAGTGGCAATATAAAGTAAGGCTGAACGCCTAGCCATAATCCGCATCAAAGAGAAGTGCTTTAACATTTTGCTTATTTGCGCCCACGCCCCGACGGAAGAAAAGGGCGATCTGACCAAAGACGTCTTCAACTGAGCGATTGGAACGTACATATGAGAGCTACCCCCGCCACGATGTCAAAATCGACTTAAGCGGGGTACGAAATATGGTTAACTTCAGTACTAGATTCCAGCATAGGAAAATTCATCAAGCTACCTGGTCGTCGGTAGACGGAAAACACGTATTCAGTTTTTAAGACGGTCGTACGCTCTAAGGTCATAACATCGCCTCGGACCACTATTTTGTTGCAGCTCACTATTTTGTTGCAGCTTTAAGCCTGAAAGTTATAAGTTCTCTCTCGACGAGTTTTGAAGCACTTTTTTTATGAGATTCGATGTTTTCCACTAAATTCCAAGTATGTTGAATGTAGACATTAATCCTATCGAATTTCATCAAAGAAGTGTCTCAAAACTGCCTTATCAATTTAGTGGGTCAAAATATCCGAAAATAATACTAGAAATAGAGTGGGGAGCATTGCGTTTTGTAAGTCAGTGTACATGCGTATATCAGAGAACTTAGCTTATAAATATACTGATAGTTTAATGATTTGTGAAAATATGTATGTACTTATATCCAAAATAGAACTTACTTACTTAGAGCAATATATATATATATACTTGTGCTCACACAATTAAGCCACATAAACGTTATGGT